CCTCATGCAGTAGGACTGCTTCTATGGAGAGTCCAATCTGCACTTCATCTTAGCCAAAAGGCCGAGAAGCAATGGAGAATCCAATCTGAATTGAAGGGAAACATTTGCAACATATAGCACTGAACCATATGAGTTTTCTATTTTTGCAGGAGAAACTATCAAATATATCACTGATGGCCCAATATCAGCGATTTCATATAGTTCCATCTAATGTTTACAAATAGGTTGTTTAATTTGATTTCTGATGGATCTGCAAGCTCAAACCAAATCCCTGAGGAAAGAGACTTTTTCTCATCTTTCTTTAATTTCTCCACCATACCTGCCACTGAGCCCCAGGTACTTGATAAATACTTACTGGGTTGGAAAGTATCGCCAAGTAACAGTACTTGTGGTTCTGCTTTAACAGACATGTGTGAAGCACTGTGACATGGAGGCAGCCTGGTGTAAAGGGAGGATGAATGGGCTTGGAGCCAGGTGGACCTGGGGGTTCCTGAACTTCAGAACCATAAAAAACTCTGTGAGAACAACCATCAACATGTTTACCAAATGTTTAAGGAGAACCTATTATGTGCCGGGCAGTGAGCTCGGTGCTAGGGATATAAAGTAAGAAGAGACAGGGTCCCTACCTTCAGGGAGCTCACTGTCTCAAAGGGGAGGCAGACATCACTCAAGGAGTGGCTCAAACAGAAATAAAATGGTAACTGGAGTAGATGTGACCAAGGGCCTGGCGTAGTCAGGAAAATCAATCAAGGAATGCTTCCCTGACACATGGGCAAGTAAGAGGAGGTCTGAACCATAAGTAGCCATTGATCAGACATTAAAAGAAAAGCAAGTTCAGGGAAAAAGAAGGGAGGGATGCAAAGGCAAAACACAGAGGATTTTCAGAGCAGTGAAACTACTCTGTACGATACTATAACAAGGGATATATGTCATTGTATATTTGTCCAAACCCATAGGATGCACACCACCATGAGTGAACCCCCATGTAAACTATAGATAATGTCATGTGTCGTTGTAGGTTCATCATGAATCAATGATGTGTCAGTGTAGGTTCATCAATTGTATCAATGTACCACTCTGTTATGGAAAACTGATAATGGGGGAGGCTACATGTGTAGGGGGTGAAGGGAGCAACAGAGGGTCTATGGCAATTCTAGGTACTCTCTGCTCATTTTGTTGTAAACCCAAAACTGCTCTTACAAAATAAAGCCCATTAATTTAAAAAAAAAAAAAAAGAGCCGAATGCAGGGGAAGAATAGTCCAAGCAGAGGAAACAGCATGTGCAAAGAGCCTCACAAGAGTCAGAGTAACTGACTCAAGGTCATGGTGGCTGGAATGCAAAGGCCAGGGATGGAGACCCGAGAGAGTGGTGCCAGAGGGCCCGAGAATAGCTCGTCTCTTTTCCTCTTTGCCAAGTGGACACTTAAAGCTAAAAGGAGCCCATCGCTTTAAATGAAAAACTGACATTCTTTCCAGGTACAGATATATAGCCTCAGTCATCACAGGAGACTCCTAACTTTCCCCAGGATGATTCTTCCCTGCCATCGTCAGCCAAAGGAGCCAAGAGGAGCAGACACCCTCCAGGCAGGTAATAGACGTTTATACTGGAAGATAAAGAGAGATAAAGTCTCACTTGTGCCCTGTTGACAACTGCGAGTTGTAACTCAGTCAGTTCTCACCCATCTTGTCAGAACAGGTACCTGTGAGCAGGGCAGTGAAGCCCTCAGCACAGCTCAAGGGCAGGAGATAAAATAAGGAAACATCACCTCAGGGACAAAAACAGTCTAGAGATTCAAAAGTGTACATTAAACCACAAACATTTGCCAAATACAAAGTCAAGGCGAACAGGTTCGATAATAGGTTTCTAGGTAAAGATAAGAAATTAAGGGGCGGTGACATTCCCTCATTCCAACCCAGCTGGGTATGACACATTGGGAAAATATGCCTGCACTGGTGACAGAGGCATTCTTGGTAGATGGCCTCCCACAGCAACGTGACCTGCTGGGGGAAAGAGAGCAACACAAAGCTTCCACTTGTACAAGCAAGGTCCTTATCCTAAATAGAATCCTAAGTAGGTACAGTAAGATAGTTTCCTTCTGTTTGCAAAGAACAGCTTTCCAAGAAATACTGAGCAGGCCATAGAGGTGCGATTTAAGGTCATCCGTGTGAACATTCCATTCTCCTAAATCTCACAAGTTGATAACCAACAGTCTATTCCAGGGAAACTAGAGTAAAAAAGAAACCAGAACAAAGAGCCCCTGTGGACTGAGACAGGCCTGTTATCAGCTGCATCTCCAAGGGCTGAGAGGAGGCTGCCTGTGCTGCTGCAGTGGGACAGCCCAGCCCACTCCAGCCTGCAGGAGGCTCATCTCCTACTGCAGAGTCCCAGGCCTGCTGGCGCTGTCACATTTGGTTTGCAGGATTAAGTGGAAGGGCCTATAATCTGGGCAAATCAGGCGGAAGCAGAAAACTCAGTAAACAAAGTAAGGGATGCTTAGGACATTAAAAAACAAAACAAAACAAAACAAAAAACCCTTAAAAAAATCTACCATTGAAATTAATATCTAATTATCATTGAAATAAAAATCAAATTATCATTGAAATTTTAGAAATCTAATTATCATTGAAATCTAATTATCATTAAAACAGATATCTGGGATTTCCTTCAAATAACAAGGGATAAAGGAGTTGGAAAAACAAATGAAACACGATCGGCCATGAGGTGGAAATTACTAAACATGGACAATAGGTACATGGAGTTTACTTTAGGTAAATAAAAAAATTTAAAAACCACCCCTCAAAATTAAAAACACACATAATCCTATCACTGGAGACAACTATTGTGATCACTTTGGTCTACTTATTTTCAATATTTTTCTTTTTTGTTTGCAAAATAGAATCATACTGTTCTTACTGTTTTATCACCTGCTTTCCACTCCCCTCTTAATTTATCTTAAGAATTATTCAAGTCCTTAAATACTCTTTAAAAGTATCATTGCCACATAGTCATTCACCAAAAAGTAGGCCATAATCTATATTTGGTTACTTTAAGATGATGGTGAACCAGGAAGGATGATATTTGTTATAAATAGGTGATTTCAAGTGAGAAAGAAATTGCTTGCTATGTACTGACAGCACAAAAGAAAAAAAAAAGGTGAAGAGAGAATCTGGTGGCTTACAGACTATAAATTCCAACTGCTAACTTTCCAGGTATCCTCTATTGCAAAGGCCGTGGTGGAGAATTAGAGAAAATGTCAACAGAGTGCCTGTCAGCCAACAATAATTCACACATGAGGGTCAGGCAATGAATTGAAGACACCTGAGAATACTGAGTTTTCAAAGGGAAAAACATTTTCATGGGTCTGGGATGGCACAGGAAGGTTCTGTAGGCACAAGAGTAAATCTAATAGCTTCTCAAAGACCACTGTGCTTCAAGCATTCAATCATGCTGTTCTGATTAACCTAATTAAACAGAATTAATATAACTGGACATTGCTTAGGCCTGTCACTGAGTTCTTTTTCCTAAGACTTATAGGCGATTTCCTCCCCTGCAAAAAAGAAAATCCACAAAATTCTCAAGATGGGGAAGAGAGGGATACTGTTTTCCCTGCACCATCGTCCCTACCAAAAAGCACAACTTGGCAGAATGTCTGTAAAGACGATGCCTCACACAATCGGTGTCTGAATGCCAGTCAAAATACAATTTTTCTTTCTGAAGCAAATCTATAAACTGTCTATTTTCTGATGCATTTGAAAGTTTAAGAGCCAAACATATTCCGACTGTGTTCCATCTGGCTTTCCTGGACTGCTCCAAAGCATCAGGGACCTCTGAATCAAACTGTCTGGCCTGGCCAACAGCTGAGAAGAGCCTGCCCTGCAGCCATCCTGGACAGGGGGCCACTGTGAGACCTCCCTCTCCAGGGTGTCCCCAGTGACTAATGGAACCACAATGGGGCAGAGAAGAGACTATGCTGCTTTCTTCACATTTTTCCTTTCCCTTATCCCTCTCTACCACTTTGTTTTTTTATTTCAGAAAAGACAACTGTGGCTCTCTCATCACCCTGTCAAGGACCGCGTGGAAGAAAAGTGAGAGTGTGACACACTGAACACAGGATCTCTAGGGTCAGAAACATGTAAGTGGACAATTATGTGATTATCACCTTGTAAGTGAACAGTAGCAGCTGATACGCAGTTTTTTAAACTGAATCCTTCCCCAGCCCCCCACTGAATGTGAGTCCCAACCACTGCCCTACTGCAGAGCTCGCCTAAAGTTTCAGGAAAGCATTGCCGATTATACACGCTCTATGACGACACTATGGAAAAATTTCAAAAGTATGTGTTGAGATAGAGAATTCAAGAGTGATTTTTATGTTTTGTTGTCACTGAGTTGTTTTGACAGTAGAAAAATATTTTAAGAATAAGTTATTACCAACATATTCCAACTATATATTTTACTGAGATTGGAGCATCTCAAAGCATGAATTCATTTCTGACCTAAGTCTACGCCTTCCCTCTGGATTCATATATCATAGAGAAGCAGGAGAAAAACAAATAGAAATGCAACCAAAGATGACATGCACTTCTCCCTTTCAGCTAAATTCTCCAAAAGAGCGACCTTTAAGGTTTACCAAAGTTAGGCCAGAAAGCTCTACAAGTTTCTATACATTTGGCTTGACCTTTACTTTTTTCCCCTGCAAAGATGCAAAAAAGCCAAATGCATAAACACAGAACAGCTGTCTCCTGGCAAAGACAGTATTCACTGCACATAGCCACACCCTGACACAGAGACACCAATCCCGATCCGTCCCTGAGCTCCAGCTGATTCAATTATTGATTTCCCCAAGGGTTCGCTGAGCTCACCTTCTGATGTAAGAGTGAACAGGAAACCACATGCTGGGGTGGCTCAAAATCTGCCATCTCCTACAGGAAGTGCCACGACGCCCACTGATGCTCTCTTCCCTGACCTCTCATGCAGAGACAGGACCAAAAAGGAAAGTTACCTTGCAGACAGCCGCCTGGAGTATTGCATCGAATCCCCCCTCGGGAGCATCACGGTTCCGGGACACCCTCTGTTTCCGAACTTCCTCATTGAAGCTGTCAACTCTGTCTGTGAGAGGCAGCAAATGACGGAACCCAAAGGAAGGGACGCAGTTTGGGAATAACTTGTAACTAGAGAGAAAGAAGAGAAGAGTCATTTTTCCATCAGTGTCTCTAAATTTTAAATAACCAAGTATGACGTGCACCAATTAATATTTACCCAGCACCTACTGTGTGCCCCTGGGATGGGCAGAGTGAGGAGAACAAAACGAAATAACTGTCTCAATTCTCTGAACATCAAGCCCTAAACTACATGCAAGATTGCATATACCAGGTTGTAAATGAATGGAATGAACAAATGATTCCGAAGAAGTAGAGATAGTGGGCTATTGTGCTCAGGGGAAACATCACGGAGAAGCCCAGGCAGCACAGAGGGGAAGGCTTTTTGGGCTGAGGAAGGTAGGCAATGTTGAAGGAAGGCAACGTGAGCAGAGTTACTCTATGAAGCCAGCTTCTCCAACTCTGCTGCTGCTATAGGACATAGGATCACACGACCCCTTCATTTCAACCTACTCAGAGCCCACCAGGATGTGCTGGCACGAAAAGCAATGTGAAGTGGAACAGGAATGAAATGTTCTTTCTGTTTCTTCATTCATTTATAACTATCACAATGCTACACGATCAGCTCTTGTAGATATAATAGAAATCATTTAGACACCAACCATCTTCAAATGGAAAATTATATCTGGAAGATTGGAAAGAGGAAAATATTGCACCTCAGTAGTAGGTTAATGCCATGTCTTTCTACTGAAATATTGGGCAATCTCATTTTTAACTTGCAGTAGAGATCCCAAGTAACCCCTGGAGGAAGTTAGAGCCTAATTATAGTTCTAGGAGTTTCTGCTTGATATATAGCCAATGAACTAGGAATAGAGGCCTTACACTGTTTCACAAATGGGTTCACTAGGTAAAAGGGGTGAAGGAAGAGTGTCCTGGACAGAGAGATCACATGCCATAGCCCTGTAGCAGGAGGAAGCAAAGACAGAGGAAGACCAGGGGAACTGCAGTGCAGGGAGCAAGGGCAAGAATGGGCTAAGAGGAAGCTGGGAAAGCAGGCGGATCGAGACTGCACAGGTCTGTGGACATGTTAAGGAAGCCTCTCTTTCAGAACAAAAGATGAGAAGCAAACACTAACAGAGAGGCCTTGGGCGCAGGCTTTATAATCCACTGCAAGCCACATGCATGGGAAAGAAAACAGGCTTAGCAACTGCTAGGGGACCCTGCCTAACTGCTGCCAGCACACGGGCAGGTCCAGACAGGCTCCCTTCCTCCTCACAAGTGGCAATCTTTGGCTTTCTAGGAGGCCACTCCATTCTCTTTTGGGACCTACAGTGCCTACTCCATCCACCACAGTCGCTCACAACGAGCTGGTTCTGGACAGAGTCATCCTCACTGCCACAATGACCATGGTTCTCTCCAGACAGGGGCAGCAGCTAGAAACTTTCCCCACTTGACTTTCTTTTGTTTCACTCCCTCCTCTTACTCCAGATCTTTACTTGCACCCTGTGCTTGGACAGGTCAGATTCCTATAACCAGTGCCTTGGGCCACCCAAACTTTCATCCATACCTCATTTTCTCATAAAGAGAAGGGTCATGAAAACTGCATTCCCAGCTGGAAAAAGGAACTGAGCTGAGGTCCCATCTGGGGTTATTTGACAAATGGAGAGGCCCAGAAAGAAGGAAATACACACAAACTCTCACTTCCCTCTTTTCCTCTGAGGAGCTACGCCCGTCTGTGTTGTTCTGGGCCTTGATTTAGGACTTCAGGTGTGTGTGTTGATTGTCATGGTTGATCAGGTTAGTGAGGAAAGGGAGGAGACGAACAGAATAATTGTCATTCAATGAAAAAAACAGGAAAGCTGTGAAAAGCTCAGCTAAATTAGCTAAATTAACTCTTTCCACACGTTCCTGAAAATAGAAATAAGTACAGTTGACCCTTGAATAATGCAGGGGTTAGAGGAGCTGTATATAACTTTTGACTCCCCCAAAACTACTACCCACATATATATGAGCAAATGATTTTTGACAAGGAAACAGAATACATACAATGGAGAAAAGAAAGCCTCTTCAATAAACGATGCTCAGAAAATTGAAAAGCCACATGCAAAAGAATGAATCTAGACTACTATTTGTCAACATACACAAAAATGAACTCAAAATGGATTAAGGACCTGAATATGAGACCTAAAACAATAAGATGTGTAGAAGAAAACATAGCTACTAAACTTATGGGTCTTGGTCTTAGAGACGATTTTATGAATTTGACCTTGAAGACAAGGGAAGCAAAAGAAAAAAAAAAAAGAATGGAATTATATCAAACTAAAAAGCTTCTGCACAGCAAAAAAAAAAAAAAAAAAAAAAAAAAAAAAAAAACCCACACAAAAAAAAAAAAAAAAGAAGATATTTGCCAACGACACCTCCAATAAGGGGCTAAGATCCAAAATATATAAACAACTCATACAACTCAACAATGAAAAAACAAACAATCCAATTAAAAATGGGCAGAGGACCTGAACAGACACTTCTCCTATGAAGACTTACCAATGGCCAATAGATATATGGAAAAAATGCTTAACTTTACTAGCTATTAGGGAAATGTCAATCAAAACCACAATGAGATACCACTTCACGACTGCTGGAATGACTACTATCAACAAGGCAGGTAATAAAAAGTGTTGGAGAGGTTGTGGGGAAAAAGGAACCTTCATACACTGCTGGTGGGAATGTACACTGGTAAATCCACTGGAGGTTCCTCAAAATATTAAGAATAGAATTACCATATGACCCAGCAATCCCTCTTCTGGGTATCTACTCAAAAAACTTGAAAACATTTATCCGTAAAGATACATGCACCCCAATTGGTTCATTGCAGCACTATTTGTGGTGGCCAAGACATGGAAATAACCAAGCTGTTCTTCAATAGACGACTGGATAAAGAAGCTGTGGTTCATATATACAATGGAATATTACTCAGGCATAGGAAAAGATGAAATACTGTCATTTGCAACAACATGGATGGACACTGAGAATATCATGCTAAGTGAAATAAGCCAGACAGAAAAAGTTGAGAACCATAACTTCACTCATATGTGGGATATAAATTAAAAGCAACAAACAAGACAAACAAAAACTCATAGACACAGGCAACAGCATGGTGGTTACCAGAGGGATGGGAGGAGGGGGGAAGCAGAAATGGGTAAGTGGGTAAATATATGGTGACGGAAGGAGATTTGACTTTGGGTGGTGAACACACAATGCAATATACAGATGATGTATAATAGGATTGTACACTTGAAACCTATATAATTTTATTAAACAATGTCACCCCAATAAATTTAATTAAAAAATGAAAAAAATTAACTACTAATAGTCTACCGTTGACCGGAAGCCTTACCAATAACATAAACAGCTGTTTAACACATATTTTGTATGTTAGCTATATTACATACTGTATTCTTAAAATAAAGTAAGCTAGAGAAAATAAAATGTTATTAAGAAAACTCGAAGGAAGGGAAAATACATTTATAGTATTGTATGTATTTGTTTAAAAGATCCGTGTATGAGCGGACATGCACAGTTCAAACCTGTGTTGTTCAAGGGTCAACTGCAGACAAATTTTTACTGTGGAGCAGTACTATTAAGTAATTAGGAACTAGAAAATGTGTTTTCCAGAGAGAAGCTTTCACTGCAGAGAATTTACTATAACCAAATTAGAGTCACTTCTTAATTAGAAGAAAACAACTTCATCACACAGACCCTGTATATAATGTCACCTATGAGTAGTTATTTTAATTTAACCCTTGGAAGAGCTGAATGCCCTAAAGATCGGGGTGTTTGGGGGGTCTCATGCCAGGAAACCCTGCCACCCCAGCCCTGCGTCTGTGCTGTAGGGCCCAGTTTAGAGCCATGTATAGGGAGTTACTAAATTAAGGACTATGAACCAGTAAGATAAGTGAAATATATATGCTTAAAGAGCCTGGGGGAGCATGTGTGTATAAAAAGTAAATTCGATTTGAAGACACTAGATCTAGGCAAATCCAGAAAATAATAATGCTTCAAGAGAATGTTATAGATCAAGCTGATACAGAAAGAGCTAGAGAACTCTCAGGTGCCAGAAATGAAGAGGAAAACGTCCAACAAATGAATGGATTTAGGAGACTAGGTGAGAAGTGAACAGGAGCTCACGGCAGAGAGCTCTCCATGTGTCAGGTCCTAAGGGCTGGGGCAGGGTTCTAACAGGGTCGATGCGCGTCAGGCCCTTGTAAGGCCAAGCCCTGGACTGCGGCTCTCTGCATGAAGCAGAGCACTGCGAAAAGCTGCCCTGTTGCCAAAACCAAAAACAGAAAAATTCCAGCCACTGGCCTGGGAAAAGGAAGCAAGATCCACTTTGGGCCAAGAGCAAGAAAAATCACCCATAAAAATGGCAACTCCAGACAAGTTAGAATTCACTACTTTTACGGTGAAGGAACCTCCAGATGAGAAATGAACAGGAAAACTAGTTCCAGTGACACCTGGAGGACACCTGGCTGCAGTGAACCTGAAACTTGCAGGAGGCCAGCATACCAGGGGCATGTGATCCTCTGATGAAGAGATGCTAATGAAAAAGTTATGGACCCCATGAAAAACAAACCACCATGAAGGAATGTCAGCAAATTCAACAAATTGAAGAGCCTGCAGTTCAAGAAGCAGAGATAACTAAATGACTTGAAGTACTTTTAAAAAATCCAAGGAGAAAAAGGAATAAATACCAAGACCAGAACAGGATATTATCGGGGAGGGGGAGGAGGGGAGTGGTCAGAAGGCTGTGAAAAAAAATAGTATGAAAAACAGAAGTCTGTAAAAGAACCAAATAAAAATAAAAATATAGTCACTGAAATTCAAAAATGAAACTTTAGTGCATGAATTAAACAACAGAAGAACAAATGGTAAATCGGAAGAAGTTTCTTAG